TTCCCCCCCCCCCCCCCCCCCCCCCCCCCCTTGGGCACGCCACTGCATAGCTGTCGCCAACAGGAGAGGAGCCGTAGTAGCACTTCTACATCGCAACCAGTCATGGCGGGCCGTATGTTGTGCACCCCTGTTTTATAACGAAATAAATTTTTAACATTAACTAACCGTTTCATATTGCAGAACATTAAGAAGTTCAGTAGTGGAAGTATGGGAACGATGAAAAATGGGAGGTGATGGTTAAACCACACCGCCCTCCCCCGCCAATCCGTATCTCGTTAGATCTTTCGGGCAGGAGTTTCTTCTTTAACCATCACAATATATGATACTTAAGGCAGATCGTCCTCAGCTGCAGGAACCCGCCTCGGCTGAGAAATTTTTTGTTTTTTTTAATTCCTGCTAGAAGTAAGGGAACGATGCTCCAATTTACTTTCCTCGTTGGAATAGCTTTTTTCAGGAGCATTCAATCAATACTTCAGGATTTCTGATAAATAGAAAATAGTGTCCTTTTTCAAGTACGCATCATTCTGGCAGTCTCTTCAAATTTTCGGTGCACGATACTTTTGGAACGGTTTGTCCAAGGAAGCCAAAATATTCGATTTGCACCCTTCTCCACTCTACCAAAGCATTAAAACTTTCAGGAAATCATCTGATGGTCAAGCAACAATTTTCCTTGTTTCTAGACGTTTGGACAAGGAACTTTTCAGCTCATGCACAAAATCTATGGAATAGATTTGCAGGTCTACATGCTATACCTCAGTTATAGAGGTATAGCATGTAGACCATAAAAACTACTACTAATAAAACTGTGGAATTTTGATGGGCTGGAAATAGATGAACAGGAGTGTTTTCCTTTTTCACGTCAGACCTTTCCCATTGCTGTAAACTACTGGTCAAATTCATGTTAAATGACTCTCATAAAACTACATGAACTAAGGAAAGTCATAGAGAGAAAGTCATAAAGCAAAAGTCTTTTTAAAAAAGTTCACTTATATAAAATTTATTTTAAACCAATTTTATCAACCTAGAGCCCCATTAAGTCATGACATACCGTCATTACTGATGTTGCTAGTGAGCTTCATAAAATGGGTAACAATAATACAAATCATAAGTTTCTTAGAGTGTTTTTCAATTTACTTTTAGAATTTTTCATACATTTCAGCACTTCCATTTGACCAAGAAATTCTCATAAAATAGTTGAGTAGAAAATCTAAGTTTGGGTTTGGCATCTTCAAACCAAGAATAAAACTATCAAAATAAATTGAAAAATACTGAATGCTGCCATGCAAGAAGTAATAGTCAGTGAAAAAAGAGTGATCCCTCTCCATGTGGCTCATCTTGTTGGTTGTCTCAAAAACACCTAACCACTGGATTGTGAACTGACAAAGTCACTGAGTCGCCAAAGACAAAATGACAAGTGAAGAAAAAACTTCCATCCTTCTTCTGGGACTGAGATACCACAAAAAGGTAGATACGATAATAGAAAAATAATTCCCGAGTTCTGCACTGCAATTATGGTTTGTTAGACAGGTGAAACTTGGTGCATAATTGGACAGATGGTGCACCAAAGGATACTGCATGAATTCCTATGAGGTGAGATTACAAAATCCAAGAATGCATTATAAATTGAGGATCACAGCAATGAGCAGTTCAGAGTGAATTAAACAACCCAACAAAATCAAAGAAATACCTACAGAACACAGAAAGAAAAATATGCAAATTTTTCTTGCAAAGCAAAGCTTTCCAGATTTCCTGGTTTAAATATGAATAAAGATGGGAAAAAAACCTGACACTGAATTCAAATTTTCATGATCAAAATCACAGGAACCACCAGAAAAAAAGAGAAGATTAATGTCATTCCTGTAAAAGCCAAAATAGCCGTCAGATTTCCAGTTCAATGGAAAGCTGATGGAACAGTATATTATTGGAAACAGTACAGTCCCAATTATTAATTTCATGATTTATTATTAGTAGAGAAGGGAGGAGGAAGGTCTAGGGATCCATCATCAACCAAAGAATCAATCACAGTCCATGTCCCGAACACGTCGAGCAACAGACGGTGGAGGGCTTCGACTACGATCGCGGTTGCGTTCTTCAGCAGTTCCACCAGTGCGGCGGTTCGGCGTATTGCTTCGACTGTAGATTAGGTAGAAAGGCCCTGGCCGTATCACTCCCGTATGCCTGCATTCCGCACAAAAATGAAAAAAAAATTCAGTGCCAACATTGCATCTCTATGCTTCTGATATTCAACATGAATTTCTAGCAGTTGACATATTTCAACTAGCAATTTTATAGCCACACCATAATTACCATATTATCCACTTCAATTCTCAAGTCCCTTTGCTCATGTTCATCTCCTGAGGAGATATTACAAAGCAGGCATAACAGAATTCCATCATCCAAGTTGGGACATCTATAAGAATAAAAATTCATTTCAAGAGCTTTTTTGCAGCTTCCAGCATGCAGCTAGGTTCAAAAGGTTGGAACAGATCATACAGATCAAAGTGAAACAATGGGTGATTGCTTAAAAAATATATAAAAAAATAGAGGTCAGAACATATTAACCCTTTGACCAGCATGTGAGTAAATTTTTTTGGGCTCCCGTATAACAGGCGTCTGCGAAACTTGCCAGTTCAAGGGTTAAATGTACATAAAATATACGGGTTGTTCTCTGTTTCTCTGAAACATGTAATCACTTAGAAATAGAAAAATGAAGGGCAAAACAGAAGTTCATTTGAAGAATTTTTTTTCTAAATATTGGTTAACCCAAGGAGAAAAAAAGTTTTTTTTAAAACCAAAAGCCTTCAAGAAGGCTACCATTTCAAGTTCAATGAGCTAGTGTCACATTTCCTCCCAAGCAAACAAGCTAAATCCTTTTTTTTTTCCCACCATCCATGTTCCATCCTAAAACATGATCTGCTGCTTTCATAGTCAGAAATCTATAAATGAAAGACAAAAGTTGTGGGGAAGAATGGTATCTGGGAGAGAATAGTCCATTTTCATCATTATCACTTTGATGAGAGCAACACATTCTACCTGTACTGTAAGGTATGTCGCAAAAGTTCCAGGACTGATAAATAAAAAAAATCAGGAGCTACTCATGTAATTTCTCTTATGTATGTGTGAAGTAGACTCAATTCCCAACTTTCATGCAAGTTCTGACACTTTCATTCCTGTTGCAACATGTGCAGCACGCTTCCCTGTTGATGCTGATGGAAAATGGTTCCTCTTGCATGACAATCTGCACCCACACAGCACTGTTTATCCAACATTTTTTGGCTGAAAAACAAGTCACTGTCTTGCCTCATGCACTGTATTCACTTGATTTGTCACTACCAGACTTTTTTCTGTTCCCACGTCTCAAAAGAGCCACGAAAGGCCTCTGCTATGTGGACATTCCACATATTCAAGCGGCTGTGACAGAGTTGATGAACAATATTCCTGAAAATGACTTCCAATGTTGCTTCAACAACCTTCAGCGATGCTGGCAACAGTGTATTGATGCAGAGGGAGATTAGTTTGAAGGGGAAAAGCACCATTAGTTTGAAAGTACCTTCATGGTTCTGGAACTTTTGTGACATTTGTGGCCAGTCAAATGAAAGTGGGTCAGGGTGCTCTGGATGCATACTGTGACACATATATGGACATACGCCCTACCAGCGTTGAGGCACTTCTCCCATCGTGTCACAAGCCACAGCAGGGTGTTCTACAACATCTGTAGCAGCTGCTGCTTAATATCCCTAACTGCTTCCTTCACCTCGTCGTCTGAGAGGAAACACCTGCCTTTCAGGTCCCATTTCAGTGCCCTGAAGATCTGGAAATCACAGAGTCATAAAACGGGACCATATGTTGGATGCTGTAGCACCTCCCAGTCGAATGTGTACAGTGTGTCCATGTTACTCTGAGCTGTGTGTGGTCAGGTGTGGAGGATGATGATTCCATCAGTGAGGAAGCTTGGGTGCTTGTTCTTCCTTGTGCTGTGCAAATGGGTCAATGTCTGACAGTAACGTTTGGTGTTAACTGTGCATCCATGTGCCAGGAGCTTAATGAGCAATGGACAATTTATGCTTGATCTATGGCTGTGCCATTTCCAGATCTTCTGGTCACTGAAACAGGACCTGAAAGCAGGCATTTTCTCTTGGATGACGAGGTGAAGGAGGCAGTTAGTATATTCTGCAGCAGCTGCTACAGACATAGGAGGACACCCTGCAGCAGCTTGTGACACAATGGCATAAGTGCCTCAACACCAGCGGGGCGAATGTCCATATATGTCACAGTATGTATCCAGAGCTCCCTGGTCCATTTTCATTTTGACTGGCCCTTGTACCTTGTATTACTTGAGAGATTCCTTCCTTGTTAACACAAGAAAGTCACCAACTTCCACTTTAAACATCTTTAATCCATTGTCCTTCTTTCATATTCATATGACAGGATTATCATATGACCACAGACAGTTAAATTAATCAAATACATTTATTTAAAGTCACAAAGACTTTTCCCTTCCTGAGTAACTGACAGGGTCTCAGGACTCAAACAGTCTTCACAGGGTAAGGACTGTTGGAATAAAATATTCAAACAGTCTTGACAAATTCATGGACAAGAAAGGTAGAAGTCTTCATTCAAACTTACAATCTTCAAATAGTTTATAACAATAAAACTGTCCCTGCAGACCACATGTCAAGACCATGCAACATGGGATGCTTGGATCATCTCCACACACCCAACACTTTTGAATGAAGGATGTCCAAATCTCAAGTGAGGAGGAGCAATACCCCCAAAAATCAGAGTAGGTGTCATACACATGTGACATTGGTCTGTCTTCAAGAACACCTTGTCACACAGGTGCAACACATAGAAGCTGGCTTGTGACAGTTTTGTGTACAAGCTTGCATGCTACAATAATCTGATTTATCATGATCATAAAATTTGCCTAGCAAGAAGTGATCACAAACAAGATATGAAAACTAAGCAGAGATGTGGGACAACATGGTACCAAATGGCCTGGCACCATGTGTGAAAACTCATTGCTCCTCTATGAATTCCTTACTCAATGGAATTATTTGGTCTATAGGAGGATAGACGTGAAATGAGTTTGCAAAAATGGAGTATTATAGGTTGCAACAATGTATAAGATGAAGAGGCACCATAAATATATGGCACATGATTCATCATCATCATTTTGCCTTGTGAATCTGAATCAACTATTAATACACAATGTAAATCTCTAGGGAAGAAGATGGACCTTAATGAGAACTAAAAAGCAAGACTCTGGAAAAGAAAAGAAAAACAATAACGAAATGGGAATCATGTGGATAGAATGAAAGCCAATATAATAAATAAATTAATAAATCCTGGCAGAGAGAAAAAAAACCAGAATAAATAAAAAAGGAGAAAAACAAGTTTTATTATTATTTTGATCCTTGATCCCTTCATTTGCACTTGAGCCTGCTGCACACAAGACAAATTTTTTTGCTCCACCGTCACACAATTGTCACTCCACATGATATTGCACAGTGTGTGGGGGTCCTGAGATGTTGGCCCACCCAAATTCTAGCATTGACCAATCACACTGTGAGTTAAAATCTTAATATGGGAGCTTCCTTTTTTAGGTGCACATTGCCCATCCCATTGGATGCAGATTGCTCCATGTGTGGGGTCTCATCTGCGACAGTGGAGCAACAAAAATTGCCTCATGGGAGGCAGGCTTTACAAATTAGATATGGTCATTCTTCCATATGTGTATGCCAGAAGACTTGCTTACACATCAATATAGAAGCATATAACCCAATAAATAATTGAATCATGATCATGAATGTGATACAAAAATGAGAGATTTGGCCTTTTCTCCCTTACAATCTTGAAAAAATTCATTCCATGAAAAATAATGAAAGAAAATAGCATGAGAATAGAACAAAGAAGAACTGTCCTTAACTAGTCACTGGAGTGGAAGAGATTTCATGCATATGGATTAGAATGTAAAGCAAAATGACATTCTCAAGCTTAGAACAAAATCAAAACAGAAAAAAATGTTTCAGTATCATTCAGAATGTTGATAACAGAGGATAGGTGAAGGAGAGTAAGAACTTAATAGGGAGAAAAAAGGAGAGAGAGAGAGAGAGGAAATGAGGATAAGCACATCCAGGGAAGAGGAACGGATATAGCAAGGGAAGCAAGGAAAAACTGAAAAGCTCATACTAGGCAAAGGATTAAAATAACAGGTGAAGGAAAAGGATCCAAGCATTACAGAGCAAGGAGAATGAAGAGCATCAGCCCACCCGTTCCAAAGAGAATAGATGTCCCTGGAAGTACTTACGCTCGACTGAGATCCATTCAGCCCCCTCTCTCACTCCCTCTCTTACTCTTATGACGGTCGGCAATCAAGGAATCTAAAAACACATACACACGTCCCCTGATGTACAGAGCAACCACAAATTCTCCAATTGGCAATGCTGTCAAGAATGTGTGTTTGTACTTCAACACCAATAAGACAAGAAAGAACCAGTGGCGTGACCCAACATCGGCAAGGGAGGTGCATGCATCTTCCTGAGTCATTCACATCCCTTACCGGCATTAATCTCTTAGAGACTCCAATGGGAGGTTTCCTGTTATAATGAATTTACTTGTTTCAGAGGAAAGCACAGCAACTAATTGTCATGTAAAAATGATGATGTCCTATGTCCAAATGTGATATTTTTAACCATTCATACCTTTTCATGTCAGAGTAGGAATTATTGTATTGGCATTGTGTTTTGCACATTACTCAAGAGATCTATGAACATCATATACAACTCTGCAAACTTAGTCTTTTGCTTTAATGCAGCAGATTCAAATAAAGTAAATGTGTGAAATATCAGAATTTCACATTTTCCATTTTCTCAGTCATGCTTGAAAGAGTTATTCATGAAAGAGTTATTCTTTATCATTTCTTCATCAAATCAAATGTAGTAGTGAGAGGGAGAGAGAGAGAGAGCCTCCCTTGCCATCATTGGGAGATCACACAGTTTAAATTCTGTAGACCAAAAAAGCACAAGTCAACAGATGCATTCCAATTTCAGACAGAAGGTATCGTAACCAGCAAAAGTTTGCCACCCCCAAAGGCTGAGCCTAATTTCAATAAGTTTTCTTTCTTCATTGACATATTTCTCCAATGTGTTTTCTTTCTCAGGTTTCCTTTGTAATGCCTCTTTTCTCTATACAATGGATGGGACCACAATGTAAACATAGCAACTCCCACCCATCTGAGAAAGAAAAGATTGAAATTAGGCATGTCCAAAGGGGATATTGAACTTTGGCAAAAGGCAACAAGCTTAAGTAAGGAAAGAACACAAGAACAAACAGTTCTTCATGAAGCAGTGCACAGTGGCTTCTGGCTTCACCATATTTTTCAAATTGCATGAGAGAGCAAAAGCATAAAATAAACTAGTAGTTTTTAAGATGATATATTGCTAAGCAGCACTGCAATGGCACTCAACTGGCAGTCAAAAAACACATTGAATGCAAGTGCCACAAATTTTATTTTCCCTGCAGAAGGGAAGGGCTCCAGCAGCTCAAGGGCACTAAGGTAGGTACATTTTGAAAAGCAAAGAGAAGCTGAGAATTTTGCTGACAATTGTGCTTTGCATTAAGCATGACTGAGAAAATGGAAAATGTGAAATTCTGATATTTCCTGGATAATAAAGAAATATAACAACTGAAGAAATATAATTGAAGACTAACTATATTTAACTCACAGACTAAAATTTTTCAAAATTTCACATACACTTCTTTGTCAGATCATTCTCAAGCTATCAAATGTCACTGGAGATACCAATTCAGAATTGCCATTTTCCATGTAATTGCCTTTCTGCAATATCCTTCATCACCTTCATAATAGTAACCCACTCCCTGAATACTTTACAGATGGAAAGGTACCAATTTAAGCATGGGGGAAAGGTTCCAATAGGGTTTATTTAAAAAAAAAATTTTTTCCAGTGCATAGCACCATGAAGCGCATTACCTAAAAATCTGCAGTCAATTCAATACACAAGGGACAAGCACTAAATACTCTCAAAATAAAAATTCAACTTCCATTGGTCACCTGAAGAGGCACTGCCACAGTTACAGTAGTTTTTCATATATGCATGAGGCATATATGAAAAACATATATGCATAAGGCATATGCAATTATGTCACCCTTTGGATTATGTCAGCTACTATCTTCAATTATGTTTCCTATACTTTTCTAGGACTGTCTTATGAGAGGAGTCAGAAATCTTTGTGGTTAATGTATGGAGCAACCATGCTTAAAAATTTTCTATACTGTTGGCATTGTGTCTTAACCCTTTTGCTCATCTCATGGGCATAGTTTTCATTACTTAACCTTTATCAGACAGATTTAAATCTCTGGCATGAGTGCTGACAGCCAGATATTTTCTCTGAAGTTCATAAACACTCCCTACCTGAGCAATTATTCACTTAATATCAGAGCATTTTCAAAAAGTTTGGGTACAGCATTTGTAGCTTTAGGCCATGGGAAAATGCATTCTGTGGCACAGCAGTTGTGACATTTGTCCAATAAAGGTTAATGCACATTTTTATGGAAAGGTACTTGTTTGGGAGCAAGGGATCCAACCAGACTTTCTCCACTCTAATGTAACAGTGGCAACCAATTAGCTCTTTACAGGTGGTATTCCATGAAAAAATATTGAAATCAAGAGTTGATTTGTATATTGCATATTTTTGCAATATTTTTGCAAAAGGAAGTGAGAAATATGAGAATAAAACAATTCAGTACTGAAAGGGTTAAAGTTCCTATATTTCTAAAGAATAAAAAAAAACCCTGTCTTCCACTGTAAACACCTACTCGTTGGAGAAAAAAGAAAGATACCCTGGAACATGATTTCATCTTCAAGTACATATAGAATAAGATTTTAAGAACACTGCATCAGCTTATTATATATTTATATAGCTACATAAAAACAAGTCAGATTCAAGAAACTAAACCCACTACATAGTCTTAGAAATAATCAGGATTCTATAATCAAACCTCAGTTTAACAAAACTGACTAAGGTTATAAAAAAAACACCTATCCCTTGCTCAATGGTTGCAACTATAAGCTCACTTCAGCCATTCAATATGGTTGGGCCACTGATTTACAGAAGCCACTGGGCAATGCACTTTTAACTTTGCATGTTTGCAAATGGGCACGATGATGGGAGTTCAGGATTGATATTTTTTCTCATTAAGATGTGCATGCAGCAATGCTAGCTCAACTCTGATGACAAATCACTCATACAGTAAACCTGAGCCAAGGCATTTGGCTCAGTTCCTGACAATTTGGCAATCAGTTCCAGACAGTATGATACCTTTTTGTTCATGCAGAGGAAGAGAGAAAGTCTTCTTATGAAACCAAACCACTTACAATAAATTTGAACATATAAAAGGCTCTTATCATGCATGTGATGGTAAGAGAGAAAGATAAAGAGAGATGGTGTATACTCACCCCCCAGAGGAAGTGCTTCCCGATGGTCCAGGCTGGCCACTTCGACCTGAGTGATGACTAGACCCACTCGGAACTTCACCTCTCCCTCTGCTGGCACCCTGTTGTTGCTGTTGTTGGGCTGCCTGACTTCTGGTCACAGGTCCAGATGGCGGCGGTTGACCCCCACCCGTGGAACTTGACCTGGTTCCATTCTCGTCTAAGGACTTTCGGCAAATGGGACAAGTCCCATGCTGTTGACAGACACATATGAGTAATAAATTAAGATGGGACATATTGAGTATTCATTGTAAAATTCTCATGTATTCCCAGGAGCACAAACTCACTAGTTGGAGCCAGGGAACAATGCAGTTGTCATGAAAGTGATGCTCACATGTCAGTCTTCGTACAGATTCACTCACTTTGAAGTCCTCCATGCATACAGAGCACTGCAAGTGATTCTCTGAATGGAAAAGTAAGGTACAGCATGAATGAGACTCATCCTCACAAATAACAGAAAAAAAATTGTACTTATAACAGGAATCACTCTGATCCCAGATGGTGCAACCAAGGTTCTAGGAAACTTCATTTCATTAATTGCACATACCAACTTGCTGCTGGGTGATGGAAACCGTGGGGATCACACTGATCTGCTCCTGTGGAAGTGGAGGGGGTCCAGTCCCCTCAATCTGATTCAGAAGCTGTGTGATGATATCATCTAGGCCACGACGACCCCAAGCATAGTCTCCCAGGTTTCCCGCATTTTGCATATTTACAAATCTATACATAAGAGCACTGTATAAGTTTACAAGATCTTGTAATAAAAGGAAACAGACACGGGAGGATATACATGGGCATGTGATTATTGTCGTGCATCCCGCCCCCAATGAGGATGTTGATGAAGTCCTGGAACATTGCACCCACTTCGACTCCACCTCCACCATTCGGTACAACTCCAACGGTCTGTCCGCGAGGACGGATGGTGCGATGGAACGTGATCTGCTGCCTCCCCCCAGGTCCATTGGATCGCTCATACAAAGTCAGCCCCCCTTGTCCTACTGGTTGAGTACAAACTAGGTGAATTCCTTGAGTGAAGTACAATGGAGTGCTGATTCTGAAGGCTGAGAAGAGAAGAGAGTAACCAGAGGATGGGACACCCTGGATGAATCATAAGTCACCACCCCAATGCATTAAGCATTGACAGTATGGAAGGCAGAGACAGAGGGGAGATGGAATTTGTAACCATTCCAAGTTAATGAACCAAGGCTTGTTCACACCAATGCCATAAGTACAATGCAAGGGAGTCAAACCACATCACTAGGACATAAGCAGGAAGTAGACCAGCTAGTCAATAGAGCAAAGAGCTAGTGCTGTGTCTTGATGTCCTTGGACATTGCTACACATCTGGTGTGAATGCGCCCATATATAGGGAAAAGCAGAAATACCAATGAACAGATCATGCATGCATGCACATCCAAAGAAAAAAAATCTGAAAGAAGCCATTCCACTGCCTATCAAGATGGTTCTGATGAAGCACTTAAATTTCACTCTCCATCCTCTATTTCTGCTCTCGCCATAGTTAATTTTTAAAAATGCATTTCCACTGTTTGTTGGAGCACATGTACAACAATGCTTCTACAGTATGTGAAACTAATTTAGAGGTAGTTAATTTAGCAAAAACATTTTAAGAACAGCTTCTTGAGACTTCAGGATTGGACTCATCACTCTCATAAAAAAAGGGAGCAAGGAGATGCAGTGGAAAGAAAGAAAGAGAAAAAATTATAATGGTAGTGAGTTTATTAAGTTTGACGGGACTTTCGGCACAAAGATAAAATTTGAGATTAACATGGAACCAGTACTTACATAAGGCACCATGAAGTTGTTATTATATGAATCAAATGGAAAACATTATGGACTATGGTCTATTATGGACATATACATGACGGGCACAAAGGAGCCAACATGGAACCAAAAGTTCTGAACTTCTCACTTTTAGGATCTTCATCACATAGTAAAGCATAGATGCTTTATTATTCAATGAAGACTCAATGGTTTGAAGGTTGAGTGCATTTTGTCCCATTTTCTCATTTTCTTTTCAGCATGCTTTAACTTGCCTTTCACTCACATCCAGGTGGCCTCATGCCTTCACTTCTTTATCATAAATCATGAAAGACTGATTACCAGTATTAGTAATATGAAGCAGGAAAACAACACCTCATATTTATGCAAAAAATTCCATTTAAAATAAAAAAGGTATTCAGTCTTATTGAAAACTTAGTTATAGATGATACAAGTATCACAAAATCAAGCAAGTACCAAACCTAGTAGTACCACTCTATGAAATATTTAAAGCCTTTCTTGAGGCACAATCAATAATCACACAAGTAAATCCACTCACTGCCACATTACCATTCCTACTGGAAACAAAAATTATTGTCTTTGTAAAATTTCACTTGAGACATACTCCTTGGGAGAGGAATGGGCATAGTGAACACATGGTGAGCTTAATGATGATGAATTTTAAGGCTATTACCATGCTGTAATAATTTTCAACCTCCAGAAGTCAATGCATAAAATTCACAAAGTACTCTAAACAAAGGAAAAACACTGCCTCAACTTTCAGCACCACTTCCATTGTAACCAATTCCCTCTTAGAGCATTCTGATTAAAGCCCATTCATGCGCAGGAACCAACAAGAGCTTTCAAAATGTCTAATTGTTTGAATTGCAAATATCAATAGTCCCTTTCAATAGCACCTATAGCATATGCAGGCTTATACTTACTGAAATAAAAGAAAAAATAAAGTTAATATGGTCTTCAGGCTATGCAACTTCAAGTTCACAAATCTTCTGAAGTAGGGATAAAACTGAGAAAATAATTCATCTGATCTTTTTCTCTTTCATAGCACAAACTCTGTTAATTCTTCAGTACTGGAAAAATTTATTATTCCAACCTTAATAAGTTTTTCTATGACCTGCTGTAAAGATGTAACAAGCACAAGAGGAAATTTTCAATAAGCAGTGCATAAAACATGCATTTGAAAGAATGGATGGTCCAAGAATGAGACATCCACAAAAATGATTATGTAATGGTCACACAACAGATTGGTGTTTAATGGAAAACAGAACAACAGAATTAAAACTTCGGAACTGAGAAACAGCATGGACATGCATAATAGCAAGTGGAAAGCAAAATTTGCCTATTTTTTGCAATACCAGGTTCCTACTGCAATGTGAAAATTGATAAATCAGGATGAGGGAGGACAGTTCGGGACCAGGGTTAATTTTGTAAATTGTGTCAACAAAATATTCAGAAGGGCCATCAACATTACCTATTGTGACAAACATGAAAATGATTACAATACCCTGAGGAGCAATGATGTTTTTTGTCAACAAAGATTTAGACAAAAAAGCGCTTGATGAAAATTTTTTTCAATACTCATCATATAGACGAAAACAATGATTCTGATTCTGCAGTTTTCATGGATGAAAAATGGACGAGGACAAAAATTACTTTTCATCATATTTTCATCCCATCCTGCCAAAACATGTGCAGACATTCTGCACTCTACTGAAGTCGAAAAAGAACATTTTTTACTCTTTAGCTGCTGAATTTAAAAACCTTGATATCCATTATGTGAGAAAGAACATGACAACTGCAGTGAAAGAGTTACAAGTAATGAAGATTATATAAATCAGAAAAATGTATTCTGTTCATGTACATCTCAGTAATCTTGCTCACATTTCACATTTCCTATCTTTGCCTGCATGCAGCCCATGCACGAAAACATATGAAGAGTGTCACGTGTCCTCCAGGCAGAGGACACAAGAAGGAGGTTAATGATTAAGAGGATGTTATGGAGTTTCCTCCATAACATGATACATTCATGGAAATAAGAGAAATAAAAGTTTCATTTTGTAGAAACAGGTTTTTTTTTTTGTAGAAAAATTGGTCAAAAAATTATTTCAATAAAAAACTTGTTAAAAATGAGAAAATTAGGCCAAAATGTGGTCGAAAATGACTGAAATTGTGAAATCCCAACTAAAATAAAATTATTGTGATTATTTTTGCTCTGACAAATATATGATGAAAACAATAATTATGGCTTCCCAAACTGATGAAAATTATAACAAAAATTCTAAGTCAACAAAAAACATCATTGCTGAAGAGGATTTTGAACTATTTAATATGTTGGCTAAATATACAATGCACAAACTTGGCATCCCAAAAAATGACCATCTTTCCACTGAAAGCATGATGGTGACCATGAAGACAAAGTAAGTTTTCTTATTTTTTATTGATTTATATTGTGCTTTTGCTTGATACCTCTAGTATTTTGTGAAAGAATGATTATACAATAAACAAATATTTGCCAAAATTGGAATATAAGAGTTTCAAATTCCTCTAGATCACATTTGAATTTTCAGCCTGACAGTTCATTTATGACTTGTTCAGTTGAAGTTAGTGAAAAGGTTTTAGTCAGCTAAAACAAGACTAAACCAAAACTGGAACTTTGTATCAAAATTAACCCTGATTAGGACAAGACAAGGGCAGACCGTCAGTGTGGACAACCCTTGTGACTCTAGGTGTGACAGGTAAGGGTCTTGAAGATGAAGGGTTCTGGGGTTGGATAGGGGTGATGGGAGGGGGAACAGGCAAATTGTCTTCATCATCCAGCAGCAACATCTCAACACCCACGGGGGTGTGAGGGTACGAGTTAACTTGGGGGGGATTGGTTTGAGTTGGAGGGGAGGATCTACCTTGTCCCCTCTGCCTTGCCCTCCTTGTTCCATCCCTCCTACCTTGCCCTACCCCACTGCCACCTCCGCCTCCTCCGGACATCGTTCCTGGATCCAGGACTTCTTGGAGCGCCTGTAGTGCAGTCAACTGTTAAAAAAATTAACCCATAAAATTGGCAATGCTGACACAACCCATGCAAGTGAGATCTCTTCTCAAAGATGGATGGTTGACAAATGCATATACTGTGATTTGGAAGAATTATGTCTTTTTCTTTGGCAATTTAGGAGGAGCTACATCTAAAAATAGTATTTTCCCTATAAATGGTCTCAGGGCAAGGCACTATGAATGATATGAGTAATATCTTCAAGTGCTGTCAAGCCAAAGAGATAATGCAATACCTATTGCTTTACAGTTCAAGTCACTGCCAAACATAACTAATTGCTAAAAGGAAGGGGTTCCTCATTAGGTGGATTAATCACCTCCTCCAAATCCAGTGGCCCAAGTTCACAGCCAATAAATGACATTGTCCTATGTCTCATTATCCAAGCCTAAGGTGTTAAACCACTTATTCCATGAAGTTCTTCCAGTACAGCAACTAAAATAAAGAAGGGATGATTCACTTTGGTTTGAGAATATTTTCTTCAGGCAATCTTAACTGGGAATGAAATACATTTCAATCCATATTAAGGATAACCAAATATCATGAGGCTCTGCAGCTAAGTAGCTGTTAACAGACACCTTAACTTCTTTTACCTGACATTCAGATAGAAATGACAGCCCGGCATGGAATGAACCAGAAAATGAACCATACCTTCAACATATCAGCAAAAAGGCTACACTTGACAAAATAATCCAAGCACTACTCAAGCTTCATCCTCTGCCCACTCTTGAGATTAAACTTTGTAGATGCAAAGCCCTCTAAATAACATATAAACCCCACACTGACCAACATCACAAAAAAATCCAGTTCAACCCAGAAGGAGTACATGGCCATACTGACTATACTAGCAAAAGCATACTGACAACAAAAAAACCATACAACAGCCATAATAAATTTGCAATGACAAAGATCCAGCATGGAAGCAGAGCTCACGGGCTCAAAGAGAAACCCAGCACGCATGGGAGGCACATCATTGGACTCATCAGAGCTCACCCTCCCAGACACATTGTTCTCCAATTCCTCGACGAACCCACTCTTACATTGGGGACACAGGAAATCCTGAAAATATAACCACAAAAATTCCATTATTAGGAGGTGCCATGAACAGAGAAAACCTAATCTGAGATTAAATCAAAATTTACCAAATGATAGACCTCTCACAGCAACACTTACAATTGAAATGTATGATATCTTACTCAGGAATTTGAAAAGCTAATGAAGTCTCATATCTCCAACTTAATTAACCTTTGTTTTATGAATGAGACAGATAAGAGGAAAAAGACTATCTTGGAATGAGAGATAGGAACAATGTCCTAGCAACCAGTCTGTTGACAATGCAAAGAATGAAAGAAAATCTCACAGGCAAGACATGGTTGATATTTGCATCACACTGGTGACAATAGAAAGATTGGGAGGTCTGGGGGACATCAACAGTTGCTTCAGCCATCTTGTTTGATAAGATGAACAGGCTCCTGGAAACTACTCAGTCCATGCACCAACAACTCTTTCACACACTCTGGCCCAATTTGGGCCCACTACTTTTTCACACTTAGACCCACATCACAGGAAGAGGAAAAGATTTTGTGCTGTCCTGCTTGTGAAATGCAGGCAAAACCTAATCTCTTTCTTCCAAGTACGAAAGCAAAGCAGACTGCAAATAATAGGGTTAGGCACCAGCATCACTAGGCCAATGAGCAGGAAGTTTCCTTCTTCAAAGATTCATTATCTAAAATGAAAAATGCCATCATACAAAGAATTTGATTTATTTTTGGGGATTCTGTGAGAAACATGGATGAATAACATCTGGACTTGTCAGTCCTGACATATCATCTTATGTTTTAATTAACTTCCCACTTCTGATATTTTGGAGGTTTTCCACTCCTCTGAATGAAGTACAATACAATGGCAGATACAGAAAATTTTCATGGGGGGGGGGGCACTTCCCAAGTTCGTACCTACTACACTGCCTTCTACCCCACCCCACCCCTGGATCCACTACTGGTAAATAATCATAAGATGATGCTTATCACTCCCATTCCTTACTTTGCCAATTTTGGATAGGCCTATGCCATGTCACAAGCACAGGCAGTTTCTTACAGAAGTAAGTCAACAGATAAAACCTGTAGTGGTTCATGAAAACATCCAAGAAACCTTTATTGTCCTTCAGAATGGTTGCGAGTCAGGACAACAGTGATTTTAAATGGAATGCAAATGCATCCCCCATACGAAGGCAGAAGCAAGAATTACTTAATTCCAATTTAAGTCACTCATTTAGCCAGATGTGGTTACTTTCAGACATTTGAATGCCATTTAGAATGGGGATAGGGGGTGCAATCAGTGAAAAATCCTAACAACTTTTGTTTGCTGGCAAGAAAGTGAAATTGGCTATTTTGAGAGCATCATCAGTGAATACTTTTTTAGTTACTGCCTGATAAAAGCAAGAATACAAATGTGTACTAAAATATGAAATAAATCAACACAAGCTGAGCTTGTTTTGTCTTGGGAATTATGAGAAAGCAACATATGTGAAATTTAACATTTGAAGGCTTAAGGGTTAAAATAATTCACATTAACCTGTGCATAAAATAAATTCTAGAAGCATAAAATAAATTCTAGAAGCATAAAATAAATTGTCAATGCTTTGGAAATTTATTTTTTGACTATCGAAGACGTCCCCTTGTTCCATATATGTGATGTCATCTAGTGGATAGTTTGGACTCATGAGCAAAGAAGCTGAGTCACAAAGCATCATAGAAGCAATGAAGAAAAAATGCCACAATGGGAATAGGGAAGAAGCTTGTATATATAAAGAGAACTTCCTTTTCCCTAGATTCAAAAAAGTCATTGTGTGGAATTAGACCCTTGGAGGTCTAATTCCAAGCTATAAAAGAAAATCTCCTCCTTCTGGAGATTATATATCAACAGAGATAAGAGCATAAAGGGTGGCACTAGAGGAGATAGGTACCCTACCAGCTAGTCCCAATGCAACATAATTCATGCTTATGGATACACAGCCTTTCTTTCTCTCTTAACATTCACTATGACCTCACCATTGAATATCATCCAATGAAATTTTTTTATTGATAATACTTGATCTTAGAGCAGTTGCCATACTCCATATAATTGCACAACTTTCCACAGTTTTAGATGATCTTTCAAATAGTGAACCTGATTTCACTGACAGTGTTATCTTAACCAATCAACACTTGTGAAAGAAACTCTCATTTACAGAGTCATGTATGTTTTGATGCTATCATCAATAGTGGAGACCAGTGACAGCTTCTGATATTCAGCAGTAGAGAAATGGTAATGCAGACAGGGTAGGCCCAGACCTACTCTATCCACAAGAAGACCCACTTCTGCTGAATATTACAAGCCACAAATGTTGGATGCATTGATAGTTTCTCTAGAGATGATGGAAGATGGAAAAGGCATGAATTGAGGAAAGAAGTGACAGAATTCAAACTGCAACCCCACGATGCATCAATGCATTGTTTTTCAGGTTGATAAAACAATGTTTTCATGGCAGTCATTGTGATGGCCTGAAAAAATTGGAACATGTTTTCCTAATAGGCATATTTGAATAAGTACTTCATATCATATAATTCTTCAATCTTTATCTATTTGTCACAATCAATAACAGCACCAGCCCAGGTCAATGAATATGAGAATCATAATCTACCAATGGCCATATACGGCCACTAGTTCAAGATTTAGCCTCATATACAATGAAGCATTACACACCCTTCTTGAGAAGAAAATCAACTTTGCAGATATCTTTCAGAGATATTCACAAAGGATTATTCTTAGATGCAAGCTAATACCTCCCAAAACATGAAATTACAGACTAGATCAAGCTGAATGCAAGCTTTTCACTAATTTTTCTGCTTGGGTGATAACTTTTGTAGTGGCAAGATGGGTATGCTCCAGTACTTTTGAACAGTGCAGTCCCATAACACCTCAAGTACAACTGAATCTGTCAGAAATGGATATGCAGGAAGCATCACAAAGATATACCATTGTTCCCTTTATGTTCATGTCAGTGCAAAGTCATCTGATACATTGGCCTAGTGCCAGAATACACATTCTGCATGAGATGCTTTTTTTTTGAGTAAAGAGAGATAGCTGGACTGACAGAAAAGGAGGGGGGGTGGGGGGGGGGGGGTAATAAAAGTTCAAAGCATCAACAATGCAAAGTCAAACACTATGAAACTACTATTGCATAGTAGCTTTCATCATATTTCACCATATATTGAAATTCAACTTCAAACTATTCTAGCCACAATTTCTGAAAGAGAGCAAAGGAAGAGGAACCAAAGAAAATGAGAGAGGGTAAAAATTTAAGAGATCAAATGAAAGCAAGATAAAAATGAGAAGTTTACGCATCAGAGAAGTGCAAATGCAGGAAATATAGTGTTCACAACATGAACATATTCTGTGACTTTACCCTACAACCATATGAATTAGTATAAAGGAGGCCTGTTGTGGTCAAGATTTCCTTGACCTAAGGCTGCAAGCTAAGCAACAGATACCATGGTGCTCAATGGATAGGAAATGGAACTATGAGAAACTGCTAGTAATGATGTAGTACTTCAGTTTAAATTTTCCATAGCCATTGGTAGCGAAGTGGGGATAACCGATTCAACTTAACCTTGCTTCCAAATTAGCTGCAGTTTCTCAAAACTGGAATGTAAACAACCTTAGCCTGCATTTCTTTCAGTTAATAGGATAGGCTAATGTTAGGCCTAAACTATAAAACCATCTTTTCACATGGCTAGTTTAGTCTTCAGTTTCAGTTAACAAAAATCTAGCTGAGAAAAAACTGCATAGCATGAAATTACAGCATTACCGAGCTAGGCCTTTGCGAGATATAAGCCGAATTGAATCTACGCACTTCAGTCAGTGGCACCAGGAAAGAGACATCACCTGACTGGCCGAGGTACTTCCTTACTATTCATCGAAGGTGGGACCGCAGTCAGCAACATCTAGGCTTAGCATAAAGTTTGGAACTAGGCCAATGGGAAAATGAATGCAAAAACGGATGAACGGGAATCACGTTACGTCGGTGATGAGTTGTGACACAGACACGAAGGCCGCCATCATCTTGCATTGGGTAAGCATGACGTCACAGAAAATAGTACGATTCCTTGCACCCGACATCTAGCTGAAAGAAATCCAACTACTCAACTTAATCCTTTTCTCCGAGATGTTGCACTGATGGCGTGTGAAAGGCTGCATCGCCCAAGGAGCATTCAGTCGGCCAACGGCATAGTTCAATCAGTTTGCGCGTTGCCAATGATCCAATTTTGGATTTGGCTTCGATGAATACATGCGTGCAGGTGGCACAAGCGGAGTGTGCAGACCGATTCTTCGGGATTTCGCTTTTCTCTGGTTTCCTTAATCAATATTGGATCTCGTGTAAACCAAGACGTGCCGCACAATCCGCGTGCAGTGTTCCTTTCGGCGATCGGGCAATCACTTTCTAAGTCAAGAAATGTTTTAAAGTAACTTTTTTATTAAAAAATCATTGCACGATAATGTTCTCTATCGAGTTCCATTGCAACTAAAATCCTAAAATTCCAACTAGAATGGATCTTAGTTGCAATGGAGCTCGATAGAGAACATTATCGTGCAATGATTTCTTACGATTTCAAAAGTGGTTTAAGTCCCAACAACATCTGAGTCGGTATAAAACGATGTAACTAAAAAAAAAAAAACGTGTCGTGGCAAGTTGAAAATTGCACGGCTTACTCATAGATATATATATATATAAATCCTTCCACGGCACCTGCCGGTATTGGAGATATGAAGGGGGATGAACCAC